TTAAGGAGACTTGCCTCGCACGGGCAACCGTATTACATCGACGGGGACAACCATACGGATGGCCATCATAATAGTTCACAACGATAGGCTACATATTCACGTTCATACATAGATCACGCCAAATCAGAAAAACATATTTAAACACACATTGCACAGGTATTTTAGAATAACTAACCCACCTCGAAATTCAGATGGACGATAGCAATTATCAGAAAAGACGTGGGTCGAGGCTTGACTCCTCAAATACCTACATTAAGTCAAGGTCTTACAATAAATATCTTGACTTAAAAAGGAAAACACAAATCTGACCTAGTCGAACATATTTCGACTAAGTAGTTCGTGAAGTCCTGTGGAGTTGGAACACTAAGACTCAGCTCTTAACTTGACCAAACCACATACACCATCACATAAATCCATCTAAGGATTGACCAAGTCAAACTCACATCAAAACGAAAAGCAAGTCGATTACCGATATAAATACCAAAATTATATTTTGGAAATAATAATCATTAACCACATAAAAATAGATGATCAGGTTACCCTTTGAATCAAGCTCTGAATCTTTACCCAAAATGACATCTCCCAGAAACATGTAAAACCACAAATTTTCAGCTTCAAACTCGAAATACACTATTTTATAAAATTCGAACAAGATATCAACAAAACGGGAACATCAATTTATACTTGAACTTAATGAACGAATCAGGACTTGCAAGCCCAACAACATGCAGCATGCTAAAGTCCATGTATAAAAATCTCAGCCCTTAACATTAACTGCTACTATTTTTAAAAATCCATACGAGATTCAGCAGTTTATCGAATTTAAATCAAAACTGAATCAAAATGGATTCCGAAAATTCCCATCTTTTAACGACATGATTCTACACATAAAATAGGCATCTTAGTAAAATGTCAGAATTGTTCATCAAATAACCGATTTATAAAAATTCAAACAATTTTCAACAGATTCGATAAATAAATTTATTACCCATATCAAATCAAGTCCAAAAATTCTAAAATTTTAACACAACATATAAACATCACAGAGGTATGACATAATTGAATTTCAGCTCATTTGGTTCACGAATGAATTTATTATTCAATTAACACTACTCTGATCAGATTTCATTATAATTATTAAAAATATTTACTGGCTTCTAAAAATCACGAAATTTTTACACAAGGCTAGTCTTGAACAGAAAACATCACCCTAAAAATTTCAAGTCGTTTCGAGCAGCGAGCTATTTTTAAAAATTCAAATACCAAAACAGCGACAATAAAGCTCGACAATTTTGACAATTAATCCGAAACACGAAAATTCTCGTCCGAGGCCTTCTCATAAGACCAAGGGCTCGACATTGTTCCAACATCCACCGACTTACACGACTTTCGGGTTCTCGTTCAATCCTTTAAAAATTGAAGAGGTCTCGAATACATACACGTCACATAAAATCATAACAAAACACATAATCGCGCATATTCACGTCTCGCAATTCATATATATATTAAATTGTTCAACGAGCACTTCACGACATTATACACATAACGAATAAATCATATACGAGTTAAACGAGACGGGATCGACGAGGTACCGTTCTCGAGAAAAACTCGAAAAACGAAACGAACACGAAGAGGCGAACACGAGGCTAATGCTCGTCGGTGATGCATCATCTCGCGGAGGAGGGCTCGTTGCTGCGGCTAGGCCTCGGCGAGGAGCTGCGAACAGAGGGCCTCGACAACGATGTTGCTGTGGCGAGGAAGGCCTGCGTCGATGGTGGCTCGCCGCTGGTGCCGCGGTCATGAAGAAGGAACAGCGGCGGCTCGTGGACTGCTCGCGGGAGGAAGAGAGCTCGCCGGAAATTCGCGAACAGGGGTCCACGTCGGGTTGCTGTAGGTCGCCGGAGTTGGTTGCTGCGATCGGGATGCTGAGTGAATGCGAGAGTGGTGATTAGCGGCGTCGCGGCGCGGCGCGGCGGACTTGATCGCGGCGTGAAGGGATTGTTCCCGGTGGAGATCGCCGCTCTTCTTCTCGCTGGAAAATCTGGTGGCCTGCCTCGCCGTCGGTGATTGGAGAAAGTGAGAGGGAGAGATGGCGACGGTCTAGAGACGACGAGATATCTGCTGCGTGAGGGAGAGAAAATCGAGAGCGAGAGTTTTTCTTATCTGTTCTTGCGACGAGAGATCAAGAGAGATAGGAAGGAGTTGCGGCGTGCGTTTTAAGAGAGAGAAGAGAGATTAATTTGACTAGGGTTTACAAGTCTTGCTTCTCAAGACTCACCCACACACGCACAAAAGGAAGGAAAGTGAACCGGGTCGGGCTGGGCGTGCGGTTTCTCTCGGGCCGGGGCGCGGGTTCCAAGAGTTTGGCAAACGACTCGGCTCTCGGGCTCGATTTAGCCGAAATATGAAATTAGACAAGTAATGACATTTAGACATTCATTTAAAATGTTAATATTAATACTAACAATCCCAAATAATCCGTAAATAATGGGTTTACGAGCCGGTCGGTTTCAACTACCGGTTTATCGGGCTCAACTTCATAGAATCCGAATATATATATATCGCTCGGAAAATAAAATATGACGACCCGTAAATTTTTAAATTTACAAACCGACATAATATATATTTATTAGCACACAATAATAAATATATTATCCAAAAATTATTTCACTTTGGCAAAAATTATAATAATATTAATAATGCCAAAATATCCGGTAAAACACATTATTCAAACGGATTATATTCAGTTCACGCAATTAAACCAAAATTCCCGAACGACGAACGTTTTTTTAAAAAACGATCGAGTACTCCAACATTTTATTTAAGTCGACACCGCGACCAAATAAATGTAAATATAACCTTATTAATAATATTCGATAAATAGAATATTTCGAGAAAGTCTATAAATCGAACGGGGCGCTACAATAATAGACTCATGTGCACACCTATACCAATAGACTACTGCCGGTAGATGTATCGAAGGCCCTCGCTCGGTTCATGCTTCGAATGCCCCATAAGCTCTACATCTATGCCCTCCGATCCTACACACCGAATCGCCCCACGGGCTTCCATCGATGCCCGGTCAGTAGGAGTAACCCGCCGGCCAAGGCCTCCCCTTGGTCTTACCAACGGGGTTGTCCAGCACAGGGACCTTTCACCCTGGTCTTACGGCTCATAAAGGAGACTACCCTACGGGTACATTCTATAGCTATGGGGATAACCGTTCGACGGCCGGTACAGCTCACATCGAAGGCTACATGGTTCCACATGCATACTTTGATCATACCATAATTAAAGCAGTAATAACATTTAAGGCTTAACAATTTTTCGAATTAAACCCACCTGGATTCGGACTGATGATAGCAATTCAGAAAAGGCATAGGGGTAGGCTTGACTCCTCAAACACCTACATTATGTCAAGATCCTACAATCAATATCTTGACTTAATCGGAAAACACAAAACAGACCTAATCGAACTTGTTTCGACTAAGTAGTTCGTGAAGTCCTGTGGACGTTGGAACACTTAGACTCGACACTATACTCGACCAAACCACATATGGGAGTTCACATAAATCCATTTAAGGATTGACCAAGTCAAACACTCAACATAATGAAAAGCACGTCGATTACCGATTTTAATTTCAAAATCATAATCACATAAAAATAGATGGTCAGGCTACCATACGACTTAAGCTCTAAAATTTTAACCAAAATTACTCCTCCCAGTAATAAGAAAAACTACCAAGTTTCAGCTTTAAACTCAAAGTACATTAATTTATAAAATTCATATAAGATATTAGCAAAAACGCACATAAATTTATATTTGAACCTAATGAATGAGTCAGGACTTGATAATTTTAACACAACAAGCTACAGCATGATAGAGACAACATGTAAAAATCTCAGCCCTGGACATTAACTGTACAAATTTTAAAAATTCAGACAAGATTCAGAAGTTATCAAATTTAAATCAAAACCGAATCAAATTGGACTCCGAAAATTCCCATATTTTTACAATATGAATATACACATAAAATAAGCATCTCAGTAAAGTTTCAGAATTTTTTGAAAACCAGCTGATTTATAGTAATTCAAACAACTTTCAGCAGAAACGGAAAATAAATCATTTACCTTATCAAACTTAGTCCAAAAATTCTAAACATTTAACACGACATATAAACATCACAGTAGCATAACACACTAAAATTTCAGCTCATTTGAATCACTACACAATTTATTACACAATTTACATGAAACTGACCAGAAATCATTTTATTTATTTAAAATTGCTACTGACCTTGAAAAATTATGAAATTTTATCACATGTCAGATGTTCAACAGAAGACATGACCTCAAATTTTCAAGGCAAACGGAGCAATACATAAGTTTTTATAATTCCAACACTAAAACAGCGGCATTCAGGTTCGACCATTTTACACAAAATATATAACATATAATTCTCGTCTGAGGCCTTCCCATACAGCCAAGGACTCGACATGGTTCCACAATCCATAGCCTTACATGAGTTTCGAGGTCTCGTTCGATTCCTTATAATCGAAGAGATCCTCAAAACACGAACAACACATTAAATTCCAAATTCGCAAAATATCATATCGAGGCTCGACATATTCAAACCACATCAACAAAGCACTCGATTTAACATAAATAATCACGTTAACCACATAACACAAGAAAATTATACACGATTTAACAAGACGGGGTTCGACTAGGTACCGTTCTTGGAAAAAGTTCGGAAAAACGAAACGAAAAGGCGAAGGCGAGCTCGCGGTGGCTAGCGGCAGTGCTCGGCGGCTTCGCTCGCTTCTATACACACACGAACCCAGGGCTGCTTGCTAAAGACCCCCAGCTGCTTCTTGGAGTCGTCGAAAGGAAGTTCTTGGCCGAAAACCCACGAACTGGGGCTGTTTGCCGAAAAGCAAGCCGATTTGCCGCCGCTTCGAGGTCTCCGGCTGCTCGATAAAAGCCTCAAACGGCTTTCGTTATACTCGTACGGGCCCGAAAGGGCTCCCGCTGCCGTTCGGGCCGCCAAACGAAGGCCGACGGGGATGCCGCTGCTCGGAAAATAAGCCGACGGAGAGTGTTGCGGCTGTTCGGGCCTGAACGAAGGCCGACAGGGTGTGCCGCATGCTGCAACTCGCGATGAAGGGTTTGATAGAATTTGAAATTCGAACAGGGCTCGTTTACAAGACCTTCTCGACGTGTGCGGACTGAAAGAGGGTTGTTGCTGTCACTCGAAGTTCATCAGCGATGGAGAGGAAGGAACGATTGTCGCTGCTGCCTGCAAGGGTCGTCGACGAGAACTCATCTCGTCTTGTTCGTCGGCGGTATTGCTCGCAGGACGTGGTCGGGTCACTGCTACTGCTCCTTGCGGACATCGACGACAACGAAAGGCCGTTGGGTGGCAGCGCTAGGGCTGTAGGTTGCCGGAAAAACGAGCAGAGGAAGGTGACGGGTTGCTGCGGCTAAAGCTCCCGCAGGATGATGGCGGACACGGCTGTCGACGGTGTTTGATGGCGGACACGGCTGTCGACGGTGCTGGTAGCGGCGTGTCGCGCTGACTTCTTGGAAAGGATGGTGGTCGCTGGAAAAACCGAGCAGAGGGAGGTTTGCTGGGATCGACGATCGCGGACAGAGGGCCAAGCAGGATTCTCGCGGTTGCCGGAGACTGAGACGAGGAAAGCAATTTGATGCGGCGATTTGCTGTCGCGAGAGGGCAACTGAGGGTGTGTTTTGGATCTGACATCGCGAGGAAGATGGAGGATTGCGACGTGATAAAACCAGAGAGAAAGAGAGATGAGAGTTGAGGGCGTTTGTCGAGAAAGCGAGGTTTAGATTTGAGCGTGAGATTTGGCTGTGGCGGCGTTTCTAGATGAGAGAACGAGATGAGGGTAAATAGCTTAGGTTTAAAGTCTTGTTTCTCAAGACACACACGCACAAACAGAAAAAACCGGGTGGGGTTGGCCGTTCGGTTTCTCTGGGGCTCGACATACAGCTCGGTCTCTCGGGCTCGACTAGCCATATCCTATTAATTTGATTCGGCTCGACAATTTAAAGTAAAATCGGAAATTAAATATATATAATACACACATTATTTATTTAATAATAATAATAGTATGCAATTAAACAAATAATGACACTTAGACATTCATTTAATAATAATAATAAATAATAATAATAATAATCCAAAATAATTTGTAAACAACGGTTTACGAATTGGCAGGTTTCGACTATCGATTATCGGGCTCGCGGGTCAGACGGTTCTCTCGGGCTCGATTAAACGCAACATTAAATCGGTTCGGCCTGAGAAATAAATTGCTCAATAAAATGAATAAACCGGACATTATATATATTTATAATGCACCCAATTTAATTTATTTTTCATAATATTATTAATAAACATACAATATACACATTTTAATTAAATAATAACACTTAGACAATTTGGTAAATAATTACAATTGCAATCAAATCATATTTAGACAATTAGACATTCAACGCAAATTTAACAGATAAATCCTATAGACATTTAATAATATTTAACATTCAATCAATAATAATAACAACAACAAATAAAGGCGAATAATAATAATAAAAATAAATAATAAATAATTCTTAAATATTCAATAATTAAACGGGGCATTACACCTACACATTCTAATCAAAATGATTGGATGAATTATTGCCTAAGAAATAACATAAAACATAAATCTACCTAAAAATATAAACGACAAAAAGATAAAAAGTTAGGGAATCGGGAATGATTAATTCAAGTTCGAAACGTAAAGCCGGGCAATTAATCATTCGGTTCAAGATTGATACTCTCGCTTAAACATCTAGCGGTTCGCTCCCAATAACTCTTCGTAACATGGGATTGAACATAGACGAGCAAGTTCGAGCATACAACACCGGCCAATAATTGAATCCCAATAACTCTTCATAACATGAGAAGGGATATCAACAAGCGTGTACTTCAATCTGGAACCTATAGACAATACGTCTCCGAACATGTCTACCTCGTATGAGCCTAGTTCTACGACTTCTCCCCTATCGGTTTCGAAAGTCGCTAAATAAATTAGAAGAGATAATCAACTAATCATGTAGAATCAACAAATCCTAACTAAACAAATCAATATCCAATCGTTTCCAATCGCAAGACCAAAGTGTCACCCTTCGATTATATCAATCAATCAAGCACAAATTCATTAATTTCTAATCAATTCAACTCACACAAGAACGAACAAAATTAAAGCCCAAGAATCACGAATTAAACAAGAACAGTCATCCCCAATCCCTAGCAATTGGAATTAGCTACGTAAAATAGATTCAACACAATCAATCATTTCTCGAAATTCAATCGTTTCTCATGAATTAAATTAAGAGAAAAAAAAAACTTACAATTAATCCCCAAATCCAAATGTTGAATCCAAAATACAAGCTTAATCCTACAATACAAAGAAGAAGAAGAAGAAGAAAAACGGAGGAAAAAGATAAAGAAAAGAAGAAAAATGAAGAAGAAAAAGAAGAGAGGGAGGAAGCGCATCAATGGCGGACGGGGTAGGGTCTCACCACGTCTGCAGAAAAGGGAAAAAGAGAGAGAGAAAATGAGTGGTCTGGCTCAGTTTTTATAGGCAAAAGGCGAAGTGGCACGGTCAACTTTGCTTCTCGGGCCCGTTCAAGCTCATTTGGACTCGGAAATCGATTCTGTTTTTCCTACATGTCGCCAATGAAGCCTTCTACGCAATTGTGCTTTCAAATCTAACTTATTCTTGAAAACCTATTCTCCCAATGCCTTTGACTTGAAGCTGACGGCTTCCGTGCGCGACTTCACATATCGGGCCCGTCCGGACTCGTATGAACTCGAAATCGAGTTCCACTTTTCCTATATATCTTCAACGAAGCCATCTACCCAACCATTGTTTCCCGGCCCATTTTCGAGCTACATCGATTCCTCACGGGCCTTCCGACCTACACACTAAAAACAATTAGAAAAATGTAGAAAATCGACAAAATACACGAAAAACACATAAAAAAAAAAATAGAGCAAAACACATAATAAACTACAAAACAAACCAAAAACTAACTAAAAGACCTAAAATGGGGGGAAAATAGCTACAAAACAACAACAAAAATCGCAACAAAAATGGGACAAGCACATGGCTAATTACAAGAGGAAGGGTCCGCTTTAAACGGTTGGTCAACACCTTTGTCATCAATTTATAGATCACATTAAGAAGACTGATGGGTCAGAAATTTTTGATATTCTCGGGATGCTCAACTTTAGGGATGAGAATGATAAGTTTTTTATTGATCACAGTCGGCATTGCACCCTTGCCCAGAACGTTTTAAACAAAATGACAAACCGTTGGGCCAACTAAGTTTCAATAGTTTTGAAAGAAAAGAGTGTTCAGCCCATCGACTTCATGTAACTTTAGAGGGCCCATCTCCTTCAGGGCTTCGACGATCTCAACATCAGAAACTTCCCTACTGAGGGATGCAACTGTCTCGGGGGTCAAGTGCAAAAAGTACGAGAGTGTAGGTTGGGAGGGGGAATGGCCAGCTTTGACTATATAAATAGCCCAGAAGTAGTCCACCGCCATCGACCGTAGAACATCGAGGTCCTCGATTATGTTTCCCAACTCATCTTTCAGCGCCACAATTTATTACGATGTCTCCGTATTTTTTACTCGCCTACGGAAAAGGCAGTGTTTTTATCCCCAAAAAGCGTCCAGTCTCTTTTTTATTTCTGGAGCATCAGAAGTTCTTCTTTTTTTAAAGGAAACACCCCGGAAGTGTGGGAGATTAAGGTCGGATCCCCAACCTGTATATAGTCAAGTCCCTAAATGGGCTGCAAAATTATAAGAAAACAACAACTAGAGCAAAAAAAGTCAGAGCTTGGGCTGACAGGTGCCCAGGCAATCAATCTGCACCACGAATGGGCTAAAACACACTAAAATACTAAACGATTACCCAAATTTGAACTATGGGTAGACCATTTGATCCATCCGTACAAGGGTACAGAGGTGGAGAGCAGCGTCGTCTAGATTAAAAATGCACCTCTAGGGAGTGGAGGCACCGATGCAAGCGAGGAAATAAGCGGGTTGGTTCCCCTCGCGGAAGATGTGCGAGATCCAGTAGCGAACCGACTGAAGTGTGGATCTGATGCGCATGCGCGGGTGCTGAATCTGCCATGAGCCCTGGTGGCCTGCGGTCAAGAGGGTGGCGATAGCAGCATCGTCCAGCTCTATCCGAACGTGGAAGAGATAGAGGCTGCAATATGAAGACCGATCCGAAGCAGCTGAACCTTCACGTCGGAACTTGAGGAGGCCTGAAAAGGGGCGTGAAAGGCGGTAATGAGAGCTCCACTGTGATCCCTAATCAGGCCCCCGCCTCTATAGGTTCCGGTAAGTCAGTCAAATGATACGTCGGTGTTTAGCTTAACCCAAGGGGAGTCGGGTCTCAGCCAAACAACGGCTCTAGGGCGTGGGTGCTGGACAGGCAGTAGCGGAAGTGGTACAAAGCGGTGGGGCAACGTGTAGCCTGTCCAGTCTTTAGGTATGAGTCTGCCCAGAGTTGTGAAGAGAGAGAGATGTCGGTCAACCTGCAAAACAATGTGAGAGCACATAAAAGTAATATCCCTATGCTTCACATTACTCCTTTCTGTCCAGATAAAATACAGGATCAGACAAGGAATGAGGAAGCTCACGTGTCTACAGTGTGTGCGCTGTGAGAAAAAACTCAAGAGCTAAAAGAAACTATCTATAGTGGGAAAGGGTATATGAGTATAAGTGGTGAAAATGCTCCCACACTCTCCTCGCAACCTCGCTCTCTAAAAACAAATGAGAAAAAGTCTCAGTCTGGAAGTGTCTGGTCTCAGCACAAAAGTAACACTACAAAGGGAAGAAAAACCCCCTCGCCTGCATCACAACATCGATCTAAATTCGGTGCCGATTGAGGCGCCTAAGGAAAACAGAGATGGTCGGGATAAGCAGGTCGGCCCAAATGGCCCCGAAGAGAAGGTTATGCCAGTCACCCAACCGAACTTCTCCCCAAGACGAGGTCATAGAAAGTGCACCCGAAGATGTAAGTCTCCACCTCATACCGTCAGAACCGTCCTCTGAGATGGGAATCTGCTGTATCTAATCTATAATCTGGTCACTAAAACCCGCTCCAGTACCCAACACCGTCTTTAACCTATATCTATCCCAAGCCTGCAACACCCCGCTAACTAGGGCCAATTTTTCGCAAATTTTAACTCTTTCGAAAACGCTTATAAATTTTTCGAAATCATTTGCAAACTATCTCGGGATGCTGCTAAGGACTTTTCTGCTCAAAAACCCATTTCTTTAACCTAGGTCTAACGTCTGGTTTAGACTTA